CCCGGCGCCCCCCGAGCCTCGCCGCCGCCCGGCGCCCCCCGAGAGGGCGGCGGGCGCCCCCCGGGGAAGATGAAGGCGGAGGGGGGCGACCACTCCATGATCAACCTGTCGGTGCAGCAGGTCCTGAGCCTCTGGGCCCACGGGACGGTGCTGAGGAACCTCACAGGTAACTGATGCGCCCGGCCGGGACCGGCGGGACGCGGGGCCGCCCCACCTCCGTGCGCCCCGCGGCCGGCGGGCAGGGGCGGCTCGGGTTGGGCTGGGCGAGGCGAGCCCCGCGACCCCTCCCGGAGGCTCGGCCCCGCCTCTGTGGTGCGCGCCGGCCGCGTCGAGGGGCTTGAGCAAGCTCGCGTGTCTGCCCTCGCCCTCCCCTTGCACGCGCGCACACACGCACGCACACGCCGCTTCCCGCGGGTGTTCAGATCATTTTCAGGTTTAGCTCTTTCTGGCAAATCTTAAACCAAATGCAGAATGCAGTTTCCCAGCTTGCAATGATCTCCAGTCTTTGCTTGGGCTGTGCTTTGTTTATTCTTATTTGGAAATAGAGATGACTAAGTAGATTATAGTGGGTCAGGGGCTGGGCCAAAGTCTAGTAGTGCCTTAGAAGTCTTTTAGCTTTATCTGTCTTCTGTCCCTTCCATTTCTTTTTGTCTGTCACTCCTTCCGGCCTCAGGCTGCTCCTTCTGTGACATTTGATAATTTTGTGTTTCCTTTCATTGTCAGAGCTTTTGGGAACTGGGTCTAACTTCAAGATAACATCAGTTGACGTTCCTTAGAATGAAGGGTTATATACATAGTGTTTTTAAAAATCTAATGTGTTCTCGGTTTGCACTTTGAAGAAATTTCTGGTTTCATTAATGTGAAAATGCTTACAGATTTAGTTTTAATTTTTCTAAAAAATGGCCTGTAAAGACTAACATTTACAAAAAGTTCAATGGTAATTTTTGGTGAGCCTTCAATGACTGCTTTTCTGAGAAAAAATTTAAACACACGTTTTAATTATGGCAAGTTGTAGGGCTGACAATAGAATAGAATAGATAACAGAATAGGTAATGTCAAACTGGTTAAAGTGTGTACATACTATATACATATATTCATACGTGTGTATATATCAAATCAGGCACGAAGTCATTTACTCATAGAGAAAAATTTCGTGGAATTACACACAGAGAGTTTCATAAGCGCTGATTTCCTTGCATGTGGAAGCTCCGGTTTCATAGATGCTGGGTGGCTCCCTGGCACCCTCACTTTTAAGGTATACTCATTCAAGTTGGAGCAAGCGGACTTTATTTGGTTACTGATAAGATAACATGTTTTTATAATTCTGATCAATCCCTGTTTCCGCAATAAATAAATAAATAAATAAATAAATGTAATTCTGAAATACTAGACAGACTTAAAGACTACTGCATGGTTTAGAGAAAACTTCATCTTAAGGCTTTAGTGTGAAATGATGGTAAAAAGAAATTATAGTGAGGACTTCTTACGATAAACTTGTGTATGCTAATGACTAGCTAGGGTCATCAGTGGATATTGAGTTTTGGGAGCCAGAGTAAATGTAAATCTCCCTGTTGGCCAGATTTTAAATTGTGAATGTTCAAGATTCTCATCATTTTAGTGGCTTCCAGTCCCACAAGTCAGCCCTTAGTTTGCTAATAACTAACAGCCAAAAGTTAGCCCCTGTTATCTCTCAGTGTGATCTTGGTAATTGCCAACTGCAGACCAGACCTTGGTTTCCTTCGCGGGCCATCCAAAATTAGGCAGAGGAAGGGAACCTGGGAAATAACAGGGTCTGAGTTGGCAAGCTTTATGTGTCTGGGTAAAAACACAGTAACAAAAGTAGGCTTCACTAGCAGGTGAGAGTACCCACAGAGGGAACCACGTTACAAAAAGTGGCTGTCTTTAAGTGGTAATGTTACTAAGTGGTTCCTGTGGCCTTCACAATACTGCTGACCTTAGCAGTCGGGTACATAGGTTGATCATTGTTCAAGAGATGCTAGATAGGGTGACATTTAACACTTTGTTAAAAACAAGCAAGCATATCGCCTTCTAAAACAAGACAACTACCATTTATTGAGTGCCTGCTATGTTTTACATATCCTACATATATTATTTCTAATGTCAAGAGTAATTACAAAGTATGTTTATCAGGAAACTCGGATACACTAAGCTGCCTCCTATCGTACAGCTAGTAAATGGGCAGCAGGCCTTAGACCCAAGTCTTTGCTTATGTAACTCCTCTTTCCCCTCTACCACGCTGCTTTATTTAGCTGCTTCCTCTATTCCTTTTAGGCAGAATTCATTTCTTGCTTCATCTTCCTACTTCAGCTTCTTGCACATATTTTTATTATGCATTCTTATTGCATTGTAACTTTTTGTCTCTTCTAGATTGGGAGCTTTCTGAGGGTCGGGCTGTTGCCATACTCATCTTTGAATTCTGGACTCCTAGCACTGCAGTGCTTGGCCCGTAGTAAGCTGCTTGTCCAGTTGAGTTTTGACAGTAGTAACTAACATATAATTTAAACATTCTGTGTTGCACTGTTTTTCATCTCCATCTTTTGAAGTGAATATGCTGCTAAAGAATGAGATGATTAAACAACTTTTTACAGATAATTGTGCTCTTACATGCCTTTAATACATATAAATGTTTACTGATTGTAGGCGTATTCTGTGCATGGCATCATGCTTTCAAGTATTGTACTTAATCTTTTTAACAGTCTTTAGAGAGATTATTGTTCCTCTTTATTTTATAGATACAGAGTAACCTGATTCTCGCTAATTACAATTGTGAAAAAGCCATTACTTTTTTCAAATTGTAATGTCTACTATAGAGTGAAAAAGCATTTTTTTTGTCATAATAAACTTGGAAATGAAACAAAATGGAAAGGAGCATAGTATAGAATCAGACAGATTTGGTTTGAAAAATGACATGAAGGAATCACAGAAATTTGATTAATAAAGTATCAAATACAAGGAAATGAGCTCTCATTTCTGTCTTTCTTTGTGTGATGCTATTTTTCTCTTTGTATGTTTTAGGAAAAGCATGAAAATAGCTTAATCTTTTTAGAGACTAACCTTTAGAAAGGATTCTTGGTATTGCTTTGTTTAAATAAAATGTAAAACAAACTAGAACTAGAAACATGCAAACATTTTTGAGCTACTACTTCTTCACTTTAAACATAATGAAACATCCCTGCCTTGGAGACCTGGGCTTCCTGGGAGGCAGCAGTTATTTAGCAGCAGAGGCAAGGTGGAGCTGCTTGCTGTCTCCTGACTTACTTCCTTGCCTTTTCTGTCTGACTGACACTCATAGCTTCTTCACTCAGGCTGGTCTCAGAGATTGGAAAGCTTGCTGTGCTGGCATTTAAGATTAGTCTGGGGCTGAGGGTGTAGCTCTGTGGTAGAGCACTTGCTCAGCCTGTGGGAAGCCTTCACTTGGATCCCCAGCACTTTAAGAGCAGAGATTAGCCTGCTAAGGGTTCACCCCAGTGGCTAGAGCATGTGTGAGTGGAACTAGGGTAATCACCCCACCCCCATGTTATTGTAGGGCATTGATGGTGAACCTTTTAGAGACAAGTTGCCAAACTGCAACCCCAAACCTAGTTGTTATTTGTCACGTAGTACCAATGCTGCAATTACACTGGAATACTGAAGTTTTAGTTTAAAAAAAACAACTCATATGTTGATATCTTTTGTGTTAAAATAAAATACCATAGATTCGACACCACTGTCCTAAAGGGTACATTCCAAGACTCCTAAGTGGAAGCCTAAAATTTCAGAATACTAAACCACATTACTATGTTCTTTTCCTACTCATGCATACTTACCATGGAATTTAATCTATAAATTAGGCCCAGTAAGAGACTAACAATAATAACTAATAGGAAAAGCAATTATAACTATAACTATCTACTGTACTGTAATAAAATTGCCCACATCACTGCTCTTGGGCTTTGGAGCCATTAAGTCAAATGAGGGTTACTTCCACACACTCCCTGTGATCCCATAATCCATGTGATGACCTGATGACCGAGATGACAGGAGAGTGACTAACAGGCAGGTATTGTTTCTGGTGTGGACACACCAGACAAAGAAAGAATTTGCATCCTGGGTGGGATGGGGCAGGACAGTAGGAGCTGTCAGTAGGAGCTGTCATCATACTAGCAGAACAGTGAGCAATTCAAAGCTCAGAAATTGTTTATTTCTGTGATTCACATTTACTAGTTTTGGACCACAGCTTTCTTTAGGTAGCTAAAACCATGCAAGTGAAACCTTGAATGGGGTGTGTGTGTGTGTGTGTGTGTGTGTGTGTGTGTAGAGGTGTCTGGCAAGTAAAAGATGGCGGGAAATGTATCCCGAAAAGTAATGCTTTATAAAATTTTAAATTGCCATTGCCTTTGTAAACATTAATAATCTCAAGAGCCAGGAAAAGGAATATTGTGGGACTGTCCTGCTTCAAGGTTGTATATGGTGAGATTTTTGGACTTATGTGCAAACATGAGAAGCATAGAATTCTTTATCCCATTTTTAAAATATAATCTAATTTTTAAATGTTTTTTATCATATTATGTAGGGACTTAAAGTTCAACATATCAATACTTGATGAAAAATACCTGTTCCTTATTACGCCTAAGATGTTTGAAATGCAGTGAGATAGTGAGGTTAAGCTTCATAGCCTAAATCGTTTGATAATAACAATAAGCTTGTCTTCTGGATGGTTAACAATGTAAGTTTGCAGACCAAAATTAGAGAAAAAGGAGGGCTACAAGGAAAGCCAACATTTTGGCCCTAGCCTTCTAAGGTCAATTAAGACTCAGGACATATGAGAACTTGTACTGTAACGTCATGTACCTCGGTAGTGTCCCAAATTTTCTGATCAAGAAGATTATGGGGCCAAAGAGGAAAGTGATCGATGACGTAGAGTGTGCCTAAGGAGAGTCACATGGGGAGAAGACACTCTCTCAGGCTTTCACAGAGAGCACATTGGCCAAGCAATGGCCGTGACTCATCCACATGGCTGCACTGACAAAGGTTCTACAATCTGAGGTACAGGATCTCAGGATAAATCCTGAGGGGATTTCACTGACCTTCTCAGACCAAAACGCTACAACTCTTGGTGCATAGGTCCTGCTTTACCTCGGTCTTAATCATCCAGTAGAAAAGTAT